CTGTCTGTCGCGTTATCGATTCTTGTGACTACTTTGATGTACATTATCATTAAGCTCATGACCCTATCACTGCAAGCTCTTTAGCCATACCTATAAGTACCTAAAGTGGTATAGACATGGCCATCCCTTTTATTAATCTGTTCTAATTTTCCTTTAATGCGAGCCTTCGTAGATTAAAAATAAAAGAGCCTTAGCTTAAGATGGGCGATTGCTAATACGATTTGAGTTTAGACCCTTAAACGCCCAAGACCCAAGGTGGCATGAAGATCAGATATGTACATGTACATCTAGATACACGTACACCTTATGACGCAAGTTTACATGTTAGGCTGTTCCCCTATTGGCACCTAGTGCCTTGAATGACGGAACAATAAGAGATACTCCATACATACAAGAGGTATGTAGTTGACCTCCCAAATAGTCCAATGTAACAACAATTGTCTCATGAATTCCTCTTATTATTATTTATATAAGTATTTAATTTCTTCATTTTCGACAGGGTTGCAGGGGTAGAGTTTATAATTATCACTAGGCTAGTGGAGTTATATTGCCATTTAGGTACCTTAGGTACCTACATGTATTTAAGATAACGTTCCTGATAGGCACCCAGCAGATCCGCCTGAACGGTACAACGATACATGCCTAAATCATTACTACCGTAATTTTCTTTTCTTAGCAGGGAACGACACGACGCAGCCTTTAAACAATACACCTCACCTCGTCAACTCAACCGTCTACGCTACGGCCAACTTAAGCCAACTCGGCTCCAACACCCGCACCACATAGTACATCTATCACACATTCAAAACTTCGAATCGATTACTCATGCAAAGCTAATTTCTTCTTCGTTGTCACACCATATATTCGGTGTTCCGACCTTAATCCCCCTTTCCCGTGCTGACTAGGCTTCTTGCGCACCGCCGGGCGCTATGAATGCCATACAGCAGAGATGTCGTCCGAAGCACCAAGTTTTGGTTCTCAAGTGCTATCCTAGCACTACAAAGGGGGCTGTCGATGTTAAACCGAACTCAAGCGAACTAAGTTATCTTTTGTTCTATGCCACGTCGCGACGATCCAAGATCCAGAAGGTTGGCCAATTTCTCGAGAAAAAGACAGCTAGCGATGTGTGGAGGGTGCGCATTGGGTAAGTTCACCGCCCCCATTACAGTACAACACGAATAACTTTCATTTCCCTTGATTTGGATATAGATGTACCTAATTCATCGAATTATCTATAATTGACCATTTATTTAGAAATGTCCAAGTCACCCTGCAGATTCTAGCTGCTCTAATCGAGAAAGCCCCCAAAGATCTCCCCCTATTCGCACAGAACGTACTGAAGATTTTGGACCTCGTTCTTCGATCCGATGATATCACTATGGTCGAGGCGTCGCTGCCTACATTTCGAACTTTCTGCGAACACCACGATGTCTCGTCGCTTATTGCCGACCAAGCTTACCTCCACCAGTACGAGCAAGTCGTACGCGCTTATGCCGCATTCGCGTCAACTCGAAAGGTTCCTGGTAAAGGCACACCCAGCAAACCTGTTGCCCTGAGATGGAGAAATGCAGGCTTAGAAGCAATCAAAAGCGTTGCCGAATCCGAGGCGTTGTCATCCGTTGCTGGACGTCAGCTCGACGTTATAGTGCCTATGATTCTGGAGAACCTGTGGACCGACGATGAAGAGTTCCTTAGTATACTATCGCAGCGTGTCGAGGTAGAAGAGAAGGATGATTCCAATGCCCTGCTACGACGGAGAACTAGTATTTCCACTATCAAGACAGCAGATACTGGGGGCGATGCGAACCCCATAGCCATTTCGGGCACATCTGTTGATATCGACAAGCTCGCCGAAGAAGACATCGGTGTTGTAGCTATGCAGTGCCTGAAGCAGATATTTGTTATACCCAACAGAGCACAGATAAATGGGGCGACTACGGGGTTGCTACGATTCATCAGAGAGCGTGTTCAGCAGAAGGAGTCGGTGATAGTGCAATCTGAAGATGGCAGTGGACGTTACCATGGTTGGGCAATCAAAATCTTTGAGCTTGCAACAAGATGGGCCCCGGTGCAGGACCGTTATGTTATTATGATTACTACCACTGATACGCTCCTACGAACCCCACCGACCGAGGAGAACATGGCGGATCAAATCGTACTTACCGCCATTGTCGGATCTCTATTAAGCTCTGACATCAACTTGATTGGATTAAGTGTTATGGATGTGCTTTCGGGTTTGATACAGCATATGAAGAGAGTCTTGAAACACTCAGCGAGCTCAAGGGGAAGCGGCGGTTCTTCAGGAGATGAGAAACCCCCTTCGGTTATCGATCTCTCCCTGCACATCTCAGTACCATACAGAGAACTATTGACTCGGATTCAGCAGTCGATTGGTAATCTGGCTACTCATGTTTACTACGCGGACCAGATTTCCGACATGATTTCTACTATTCTCTTGAGACTTAAACCTCATCCGAGTACGGCGGCGAACGCGACACCGGCCCCGGAAAAGACGGAAGCTTTACCTGGAGTTTCTGCCGGAAATATTTCGGACGATCAGTCTCATCTGGACAGTTACTTCGCGTTAGATCTGGCTAAGACCACTGCTCTCCGAGCTATCAAATCTATCCTCCTTGTTGCTAATCCGAAGACAAAGGTTAGCGGAAACGTCAGCCTAACGAGAAATAAGGTTCCTATACATGTATGGGAGGGTACGCACTGGCTTCTGCGCGATCCAGATGGACAAGTCCGAAAGGCATATGTTGATGCTCTTGGCACCTGGCTCGACCGAGAAACGACGAGTTCCGACTTAGAAGCACGGGACGACTTAGGCCGGAAACCACGAGCAAACAATCGAGAGATGCCATCAGGTAGTGTTGCTCGTCGAGCTGTTTCGAGTGCCTCGAATCGGGATAAACCTGCTAGAGCTGCCCGGTCCCGCTTCTTACAGCTTCTTCATCTTGCTATTTATGATAGTGCTCTGCAGTTCGTGGAGGATCAGGCGGATATTACTCTTCTCCACGTCTTGTTGACTAAATTGGTTAATAAACTCGGTGTCAATGCTGCCAGGTACGGTCTTCCAATGGTTTTTCGGCTCCAGGAAGATATTTTAGAGGCAGAAACGCCAGCAGCGAAATTTCACCTTGGATGCCTCTGCCATGGCTATTTCTGGGCCTTGAGTGAATATTTCGAGTTTCAAGCATCACCAGTCGGCCGCGCGATCCATAATGAAATCGTTCGGAGGAGAAGCAAGCATTTCTGGATTGAAGGTGTCCACGTTCCGACACCATCACTGGAGGTTTTAGAAACGCCTGGTTCGCCTAAATCGCAATCAAAAGTGCCTACACGCGAGGTAGAGTCAGAAGCGTTGCTGCCCTTCGACGACCGTATTGGGATAGTAGACTGTATTTGCGCGAGCTATAAGGAGAGAACTATCTCCCCTCCCACCAGTCCCTCTACATCACCTGGTCGCGTATTCTCGCACCCAATCCTGGGCTCTACCCTGAGCAACATTCCACCGGCCGACGATGAGCGTGAGTTACCCAATAAGTTCAGAGAGGAAATGCTGGCGGAATGGAATCGAGAGGCCGTCGTCATTGCACTCCAGGCGGAGAGTAAGTCCGCTTCTCTAAGCGGGTCCAAAACCGGGACAACTGCTACCAAGGGAAACCATCTTACTGTTAACGGACCCTCGTCTAACGGCTACGCGGCTAGCAGACCAGAATCTGCTTATGCTCGCCAGAACAACTTGCGGCCTACTTCACATGCTAGTCATATCGCTGCTTTACGGAACTCTAGTGTACAGAGCCACGGCTCCGGGAGGACTGCTTCTGGTCGAGGCTTCGTCGCTTCTGTTGATCAGCTCAAATCGGTGTTAACCGGAGATCCAGTTCGGCCAGCCACGTTCCAGACATTACAAGAAGACGGCGACAGCAGCGATAGTATGGCGAGCTACGAGTTCACACCATCGGAGCTTTCGTTCAATCCAAACCAGGCAGATGGCGTCGATACCAATGACGCAGTCCTTACACGTTTGCGATCGAAATCCCGGGAGCGAAAGGCGTCTGGAGACTCGGGAGGCCCTCTGACTTCTCATCCTACGGAAGGCGAAGCCGAGGATGAGGGCGTGCCGCCAGTGCCGCCGCTACCGGCATCATTAGTGGGGAAGTCGCCTCCACCTGAGATCAACCTTGAACGTATTGCTAAGGTCTCAAGCCAAGACCATGCCGTCAAGATTCCTCAAAGGAATATTAGGAGCCGAGGGGGAGATAGCATCCTTTCGAGTAATTTTTCAAACGCCGGGGCTGCCAGCATGGATTTACAAGCGATGCTCAAGGGCATCGACAGCAAGTCGAAGCAAAACACTCTTGGAAATTTAACGAAGCCCCCTTACTAACAGTCTACACTGTACTAGTGCTCATATGTACTTTCTTAACTACCTATATTTAGATTTAGTGGAAACAAAAAGATGGAAGTTGACTCGTAATGATACCCTCGGGGTAGAGGGTAGTTTGTCCGGATGAGGTGTTGTATACTATTAACGCCGGGGAATATTACACAGAAGGGTTGACAGCATGAAAAGAGGAGGAAAAGGGCAATAATGAAAAAGACTACTGCGCGGGGCAACTCTATCTAAGATAAACACATGCTTGTATATATTATACGTCCGTTTGTACTTGCGTCGGCCTTTCGTTTTTAGCATGGTTGATGATTTTAGTTTCTTGAGGGGTTTATTGGCCATCTGTTAGCGATAGAAAGAAGGAGCATATCAATTTAAAAGCAAAAAACGTAGACCAAAAGTTGACGATACGTTTGTCTATCATAGGTGTTAATTTATACTATTTAATACTATAGATGCCTAGGTGCATTTTTTATACTACAAGAGGCGGACTGTACTGTACAATACAGATGTACAGTACAGTACAGTACAGTACAGTTTAGAGCGTGCTATTCTGGTTCTGATTGGTCAACTGAATGTCCAGGATATTAAGCTGTTGCATAATCGATAACAGACTCCAATGCTCAAATTTATACGGCAAATTCCACTCCTCGAAGTTAACCGCAACTTCCAATTCATAAACGTGAAAACAAATATATTCAAGATGAAGCCGCCTACCCGAATAGCGCTGCAATCGGCGATACGCCAACACTTACAATCTACACACCCCACTCCAACAACCCTTCCCTTAATAATAATAACACACCAACGTCATATCCACATCACTCCCAACGCACCCGCCACAGTCTCGCCAATCCACGGCACCGGACCACCGCCCGAACCCCCCGTCCCCGCCGCCGACAGCGCCAGTTCCCGGCTCGAGCGCCGCCGGAAACATGCCGAGCTCCTCGAGAAAGCTCGAGAGATCCGGCAATCCGAATCCGCGCCGAGAGCATCCGCGAAGAAGACTAAGGAAACTGCGCGGCGCAAGAGGTTCTGGAAAGATGTACATGTGCACGAAGTCGACGGGGCCTGGGAGGTCCATCTAGATAAACGACCGCTGCGCAGACCAAATACCAAGGACATCGTTAGACTGCCCCTGAGCAAACCCTTGCTCGCGAACGCCCTGGCTATAGAGTGGGACATGCTAGTTTCCGTGCAGCAGACGACGCGGCAACACCTTATCCCGCTGACGAGCCTCGTGTGTCGCGCGCTGGATATCGCGGACGACGATGCGGCGCAGTCGGGGCGCGAGAGTCTTCGCGAGGGGATTGCGAAAATGCTGTTAAGGTACCTCGATACGGACTCCTTGCTGTGCTGGGCGCCGCCGCCGAGACCTCATGATTCGCTGGCTGAGGGCGCGGATACCCTGCGCGACGTACAGAAGCGCGCGGCGGAGGAGGTCGTCGGATACTTGACCAGCCGCGTGTGGCCGGGCATCACGATCGAGCCGGTGCTCGACGGCGAGAGCATCATGCCGCGCAGCCACCCGGAGATCACGCGGCAGGTCGTGCAGGGGTGGATGGCGGGGCTCAGCGCGTGGGAGCTCGCGGGGCTGGAGCGCGCTGCGTTGGCCGGAAAGGGGTTGCTAGGTGCGGTGAGATTACTAGTCGAGTGGAGCGAGGGGCCGGTCGGTGGTGCGAGCTCCGGGGAGAAGAAATTCGGTGTTGAGGAAGCGGCTAGGCTGGCGAGTATAGAGGTTGATTGGCAGACGGGGCGTTGGGGCGAGGTGGAGGATACGCATGATGTGGAGAAGGAGGATCTTAGGCGGCAGTTGGGGAGTACGGTGTTGCTTGTGACGGGGACGGGGAGGAAGTAGGTAGGTACCTAGTCTGGTTGGAGGTGAAGAGAGGATTAGATATATATTATTATAAATGTATATTACCGCCCAATGATGCTCTTCGTCTTACACCTCGTGAGGGCATCCGGCAGTTTGTTTAATTCAAATCTACCTAGGTTAGGTAGAGAGAGACCTTGAGGTTTTATGAAATATCAGGCTGGTAGTTCATCTCCTGGAGTCGAATCACCAAATAGCTAACCATTGATAGGGCAGATAGAGAGAATCTCTTGTATAAGATGATTATCTATAAGGTGGTTATTATACCTTCTAAACTGGTTGACAACTACACCAAAGCTCACATATCAAAGCTTAACTTAACTCCCCCTTTTACCCTCCAATGTCTAATATATACATATTAGACATATCTAAATTTCTTGGGTTGACAGCTGCTTTACGCTCTTACATAGTATTCCGCGGTACTTCTAAGTATAAAGCAGCACCTACGATTGTCAGCTGATTGTAGCAGCGTAAGTATAAGGTAGGTACCCATACATAAGGCACGGGTTCGGAGTTACCTATTCTTACACACCATCTCAGCCACCGGAGAAGTGTTCTAGTTAGCGCCCATATTTTTTCCTCTAACATCATTGGAGGGTCTCGATTATATTACCATGAAATATTACATGACTAGGAGATACGTTTCTATGTTACGCAGGTATTCTGATGAATTTCTTGTTCCGCCGTGGGGGGGAATACGCCTTACCGTCTCCTAAATCCCCAAGCTGACAATTATATCAGGGGGGTTGATCCTTACGGTCCGGTGTATGTTATTCTTGTTTCGGCACCAATGAGAGTGTTCCTAGATTCTGATTTTGACGCTTCGCCCGTGAATCGTAAGTCCGTGACGGTACAATTAAACCCCAGCTTAAGCATGTTGAAGTCTATACTAAGATTTATGATTTATCTACTATCCAGTAAGTCGTTCCAATATCTCGATTACCTGGTATATATTAACTACGTCTTCCTACTATTTCAACTTAAATTCAACAATGATCCTTCGTATTATTAAACATCCCTGTTTTCCTCATTCCTATATTAATAGCCTGTAACTTCAACTACAACAATGCCAGGCCAACCACCATCACGAGAACTCTTCGTCTTCAACGAAGGCAAGACTTTCATCGCAAATATAGCAGTCCGTACTGACGGTACCCTTCTTTTGAGTACATTCGAGAACGGTCGTCTATACTCGCTGGATCCACGTGCCGCTACGCCAAAAGTCGAACTAGTCGCTGAGTTCCCCGGCGCCAATGCAATAAGCAGCGTTGTCGCAAATTCACCTGACGTCTTCACTGTCACCGGTGGTGATCATAGGCCATATCGGTATGCATTGGGGACAATGAAGGTGTACACCGTTTCCTTCCAGCGGCCCGGCCAGCCTGCGGTTGTGAAGACGGTAGCGGAGGTACCTGACACCGAGATGCTCAACGGAATTGCTTCTCTCCCCTCTAAACCTCACGTAGTCTTGAGCGCCGACTCGGTCAGGGGCCGAATCTTTCGCATCGACACTATCACTGGCGCTGTAGATGTTGCATTTTCCGACCCAGCCCTGGAGCTAGACGAAGCAGTTCCGATAGGTGTTAACGGAATTAGAATCTTCGGGCCACACCTTTACTTTGTAAACTCCGCCAAAGGATATTTCGGTCGTATCCCCATTGGGCCGGACGGCAGCAAAACGGGAGATGTCGAGATCATTGCTCGCACACCCGAAGCGATAAGCCAGAGCAGTGCTTATGACGACTTTGGTATAGCAGAACCCGCCGGTGGGAATCCCACGGCCTACGTCACTGCCCATACGAATAAGATTTATTCCATTGACCTGGTGACTGGCGAGCAGAAGCTTTTCTTCGGCGGAGGAGACAGCACTGCTCTCAAACGCCCGACGAGCGTTGCTGTGGCCAAGGATGGCAAGAGTATTTACGTTACTACCGCAGGGTTCGAAACTCTAGGCGGATCTGCTAAGGGGCAGGTTGTAGAGATTCCAATCTAGTGAACGTTGGAGATGATAGGGGACTAAATTGGAGATTATTACTATCCTGAATACTTGTGAACATTAGGTACTTAGCTTACGTTTCAATAACAAACCCAGATTAAGATATCCATTCTTAGAATATCGCTTGCGCGTTCGGTGGTGACGATACACCACCAGGCATATTAATAGGCATAGAGGTGAAGAAAAAAGACCACCGATTCAGTTCCTTACATATCTCAGAAAGCCTCTCCAGGTCAAACAATTCGCCTAAATAAAAGCGTTAGCTAGCTAGTTTTCTCACAAGTAAGTCTCAAACTTACCAATAGGCATGCCCCATCCAGCAAGAAGAATATCGTGAAGAAACATATCACCTTGTGGAGGATATACTTCCCACGATAAAGCGTCGCCAGCCACAGCAGCGAATCCAGTATCCCATAGCCATTTTAGCACTTCCGGTGTTGCCTCTACTCCTGCATGCTTCGGTGAAAGTGACGAAGAGTAGGCCATCTTAGCTGCCATGTCCATTTTGTCCTCCCATTCTCTAATAACACCGATTCGTACAAGTAATATGTCCCCTCTCTCGAACACAATGTTGTGTTCATAGGCTATGTCATGGATATCCTGGAGCTTGATGGTATGATTAGAGAACGTAGAGTACTGGATGCCTTTCTTCTGTGCCCACGACACATAATCTATCAGCACACCGCGGCCGGTGATACCCTCGCGGGCCCAATGCTGGGTACCTATGCGATCATTCGATCTGTCGAGTATTTCCTCCTTGGTCGTTCCGCCGTAAAATACACGTTCCCGCTGATCATCTTCGCCGGGTGGCTTGGCGCTCCAATGGCGTAGACCATCCCACTGACTGCTTTGCTCTGTGATTTACGTTAGAGTAGGTGCAAATTATAGGTAGCAATTATCAACACCGCACTTACGGGGATTCATCGTGTAGATATCATCGAAAGCGACGCCACCTAAAATCGGTGTTATTTGATGGTCGAAAGGAGCTCTTCCGATATTTGGATACTCCAATTTCCTGACGTCCCAATTCAACCCGATACGCCGGCCTGTTCGGATTTCCCGAGCTGCCGCGTTACGGACACGTTCTTCCGTCAGTAGAATAAGTCGCCCGAGGCCCTCCTCGTGGCTACCCGGCTTCCCAACCCATACTCGTTTAGGATCTGGAAGCTCGTCGAACTTTAGATCCATAAGGGATCTATGTTCAGTCATCTTGGTAGGTATTTTGCGGATATGCCTAAGGAACTTTGCGGAATATAGTTCAAAAGGTAGTTTGAATATGAGACGTGCATGTATATAATATATAAGGCTGCTTTGTATTCAGCTTCTGTTGACATTATTGCGTAAGTGTCTCAGATCGGCGTTTCCCACACGACGCGATAGGCCAAACGTCGTGCGTCAGGCAAATAATGCCGTCAACTGCAGAAAACAGAAGCGGGCCTCTACGGGAGCTTGCTGGTCGAATCGAGCGATAAGCAACTAGAAAAGCTTCCGAGACCTCTTGTGCATGAGTAAAGGTTGCGATCGGCAGTCACAATATATGTTGCAACGGTATTGGGGGGTCTGAGTAACACGACACTGCCCAATGACGTTCGTTTTTTGATGTCATGCTGACCATGAGGCTTATGCGAGTTAAGGAGACGTAAGTTCTCCAATATCTATCCCGTTCACATAAACTGATATATATAATGTCTAATAAACTTGTCTCGCAACGGGATCACTACTATTGACAACAACTGAATTCGTTTCCTCTAGGTGCTAGAAATGTCTGGGGTGAATCTCGAAGAACCTAGGTATGATTTATCTTATAAACAGGATACTCTACTGGCTAGTACTCGAGTTGTGTCATATCTTTCTCTTATCGACTAACTATAGCAAAGTCATATATACTATAGAGCTAGTGCTTAGATATCGAGATATACACAGTATATTAGCTTAGATAAAAATAGCATGTCCTCTCTAACTTGACTGTATGGGACTAATCAAGGTGAATGCAGCTTCTATTAGGATTTTCACTAGACTTGTTTGAAATTTCATAGTGAAAACCGTAGCAGATGACTCTATACTTCCCGTTCTTATCGTATTTCCCCAGCTGGGGCGTGAAAGCTCCTTGTTGGGTTTCCTAACTAGAAGGGAGATCCAAATTGTGTTGCTGTATAGAATTATCAATGACCAACTCTTAATCGTAAAAGCTTCTATAGTATTGCTAAGGGATCCATGATATATTTTTCAGCTATCACATAGTCTCCACATCGGCATATATGTTTACCTACTACTCATGTACTTTCGTCTACATTGGGTATTCTATAACGTAACGCATGTATTCATATCTGCACTAAAAGGATGCCTGTCGACAGTGTTGTAAATGAATCCCGTGTTCTCACAACTCTACGTACGGCTATGGCAAACTAAGACTAAAATAAAAAGTAGTATATTGAGGCCGTCGGCGCTATCGGATCCAAAGGACAGGGCTAAGTCGGATTTGTCTAAGGATCTACTTTTTACAATTGTCCCTTGCATAATTATTTTTCGGTGCTGACATTGGTCCGACTTCGTATAGAAAAGTCCCCGAGGCCTGCGCGGCACAACGATCACCAATGACTACTTACTTTAGAAGCAAATTTTACTATTTATATCAAAGGACGTATATTCGAAGTGCTAGTTTGAAATCATTATCGCCTCTCTATTTTGTAACAGGGTCCCCAAGTTCGCATTACCCTTACGTAGGTAGGACCTAGGTATCCAATAGTCACTAAACTAGAGAACAAAGAATATCTTTAAAACCTAAACCAAAAAAATGCCACCGCAACTCATCTTCGGCACCGCCGGCTTCGGCATGGACAAGACGGAGTTTCACGACGCAGAATCCGTCAAGGCTACACTCGCTACGGTCCGGAGCGTCGGGATCCAGCGTCTAGACACAGCAGCGCGGTACCCGCCGCTAAACCCGGGGCGGTCGGAGGAACTGCTCGGCGAAGCGCGGGAGCTAAGCCGCGACTTCGCAATCGATACGAAGGTGTACACAGATACGCGAACAGACGGCAGCGGGGACCTGACGCGCGATACTATTAGGAAGTCGGTTGAGGTCAGCTTGCAGAGGCTGAAGATGGACACGGAGAAGGGGGAGAGTATTAATGTACTGCACGTGCACCGCGCGGACCCGGCAACGCCGCTTGAGGAGCAAATTAAAGCGTTTAACGAGCAGATTGAGTTGGGACATTGCAAGGCCGTAAGTCCTCTTCTTTATTCTCTCTATCACCGTCTCCTTTTCCACACTTTACATATAAGACAAGAACTAACCCTCCCAGTGGGGCGTATCCAACGTGCCCCCCTCCACCCTCTCGCAAATCCTCTCCCTCTGCGACGAGCACAACTGGCGCAAACCAGCCTGCTACCAAGGGGAATACAGCCTAGTCTCCCGCGGCGCCGAGACCAAGCTCCTCCCGATCCTGCGCGCCCACGGCATCCGGTTCAACGCCTTCCGCTCCGCTGCCTCGGGACTACTAACCGGCAACGCGGTGCGCGGACACGTACAAGGAACACGCTTCGCACCCGACAACCCGCTAGGCGGCGCCATGCAGCGGGTCTTCGGGGCGCCGGATCTACAGGACGCGGTGCGGGAGTTCGACGCCGGGGTTCGGGCGAAGGGGCTGACGCCCCTGGAAGTTGCGATTCGCTGGGCTGTGCACCATTCCGCGCTAGGGGAGGAGGATGGTGTGGTGTTGGGGGCGAGCCGGACGGCGCAGGTTGTCGAGACGGTGGAGTTTGCGCGGAAGGGCCCGTTGGCGGATGATTTGGTGAGGTTGGCGGAGGAGCTGTGGGATGCGGTAAAGGAGACTAGGGGGGAGATCATTTAAGTAATTGATTGGTAAGTACCAGAAACGATTATATGAAAACTGAATGTTCAAAATCGTTATTGACTGGCTTAGTCGGCTGCATCCTGGTTGAATAGGGTTGCGTACGACCAGCTGGTTCTACAAGAAATACCCAATACCAAAATCCCACCATCTCTTCTACCGTAAAAAAGGTTACCCCTTCTAATGCGCCGGGTCTGTGCCGCCTATGCCTTAGGCTCGGGCAGTTTCATTATATATAGTATATGTACACGTTGAAGTAGCCAGGATTGATTCAAGGACGAGCAAATGTTTTCATGCTTCCTTCGTATCTTCAATTGCCACGGCCGCCCCTAGTTTGCCGTCTACATTAGCGGCACCATTTTCTCCGGCCCGCTTCCTTAAGACGTTCTCGATGAAGGCCTCGCCAGCTTTGTAACTACTCCTGACCAATGGTCCACTGGCCACGTATAGGAAGCCCATATCGAGGGCACGCTGCCGCCACATCTCGAACTCCTCGGGCGTGACGTACTTCTCGACCTGAAGGTGGCGCTTCGTCGGTCGCATGTATTGGCCAAAAGTCACCACGTCCACGTTGGCCTTCCGTAGCTGCTCTAGCGCGTCCATGATCTCGTGCTCCTGCTCGCCTAGCCCCAGCATCATACTCGTCTTTGTGATGATGCCATTTTGACCCCGGACCTTCTTCACGTGCTCGAGCACCTTAAGACTTGTCTTGAACGTAGCGCGACGGTCCCGCACGTACGGCGTGAGACCCTCAACGGTTTCAACGTTATGCGCATACACGTCCAGCCCGCTCTCGGCCACAACGGCCACCGAGTCCAGATCACCCCAGAAGTCACTCGTCAGTGCTTCCACGAGTAGACTCGGCTTTTTGGCCTTGATCTTGCGTATCGTCTCGGCGAAGTGGTGCGACCCACCGTCGGGCATGTCGTCTCGGTTGACACTCGTCAGCACCACATAGCCTAGGCCCCACCGAGCTAGGGCCTCAGCAGTGTGCTCGGGCTCATGGGGATCGAGCGGCGGGGGAGCACGGTTGGTCTTGACAGAGCAAAAGCGGCAGCCGCGCGTGCACGTGTCTCCCATCAGCATGATGGTGGCGGTGGCGGCATTCTTATTGCTACCGCCCCAGCACTCCGAGATATTCGGACAGCGGGCTTCCTCGCACACCGTGTGTAAGCCTAGCCCGCGTAGGTCCGACTTAATCTTCTTATAGTTATCGTTGCCGGCAGGGATCGGCGTCTTGAGCCACTCGGGTAGCCGGGTGATGGTGCGCCGGTTCGACGCGGGCCCGACCTCGGCGGTACGCAGCTGATACGCATCGCTAGCAGCTAAAGTAGTTGAAGACGAGCTAGATATAAACTCGTCTAAAGAGGCGACTGTCGTGTTCTTGAAGTATGTCGGACGGCGTGCTGGCTTGTCGGACGAGGAGAGAACTGGCTCTGGTGTATTTGTTGGGACAGTGGCGTAAGAGCGAGATGAATTTCGAGAAGCGTTTGAGATAGCACGCTGGACAGGCGCCCGGAGGCGGTTCAGCGAGGCCGATGAAGATGCCATGGTCAACCAGTAACTACGTCGGCCACGAGAAACTTCACAGGGCCAGTGTGGCGGATAGGTAGGAAATAGTTTGTTTGAGATAAAATCGAGGGACGATATCGATTGATTACAATTGCAATCCCCAACTTTTAGGTGCCCCGCTATTGGCTGCAAATCCACTGATCGGTTAGTACCGGAGGTTTTTGCCGCTTGTTCTTTATCGGCGGTTGCAGCTGGCATCAACTGAGACATCCGTCCTCCAATCACCAATGTCGTCATTTACAGATTAGGAAGGCCTAGGTGAACATACCGGGAACCTTGCTAGTATAACAAGATATAGTAGGTAAGTGCTCTGCAGTGAGGAATTATGAGATGTGTGTAGATATAAAATTATTGGCTAAAGAGACTTTAAAAAGCAGCACCTAGATATTCTTTTCTTCAGGCTCTAAGATACTTCAGCTCATAGCAAAAGACTTATACCAAAATATGTTCCATGTATAAACACTTCAGCGAAATACCCAGCCCAAACATATTAAACAACTATCAAACCAAGTTATATAGTTACTAGAAAGGCTAACCGATTAATATCTCGTTGTGATTATAAAAGTATATGAATATCCTACGCAAAACATTGTTTACATTGGCGGCAGGATATTAAAGCACACGTTAGTTTGCTTTGCTAGCAAACTTGGCCCTTTCGGAAATATTAAAATACCTTAACTGTTTAGAAAAAAAAGAGCAGGCCGGTTTATTTTATTTTACAAATAGAGATAATTAGCGTATATAACACAAGCTTAGCTAACAGTGAGAATGGTATCGTAACTGGTTGAGCACTAATTACCCCCTTTACTACGTTGCGAAATATATGCACAAACCCTTGAACGCATACAAACTAGTATATACAAATAACAATAGGTCAACAACTGCTCAATAATACATTCATATCACATATACAAAGCATAATGACATAGTGGCTTCAAAAATTTTATTGAGCTAGCTTTTACGAATATTTTCTCTTTCGCGCAACGTACTAAGCCAGCAGCCCCTTTTTCCTTTTCCAAGGACCGGAGGGAAATCCTGAAGCGACGAAATGGAAAGCGCAACATTTTTAGTTTGGTAAAATGAAGGTCAAAGATCAGCAGACCTCTCACATATAGTGAGTATATGATAGTTATTTACAGATATAACCATATCCTCCTCGTCCGCAATTCCACCTCAGGCCGTTCTCGCTCGGCGAGAGTTCAACAACGGGGTATCTCAAGACAATACGGAGGCAGAAGAATGTAAAAAAAGATAAAAAGCAAAGGGTATGAAGGTGCCTCCGTTGGCTCCTATCTCGTGGCTCATAACCGAACTCCGCGATAGAATATAGAAAAATGGGTATTGTTTTTGAAGTGAAGATGCAAGTCCAGCCAGCAACACACTCTCGATACCAAACAGGCTCTCTCATTCCCAGCCCAACGTCCAAACGGCGGTTAGAAACATGTAAGGTCTTGCAGATTTATGACCAGCCCCGAGACCGACAAGGGGTATCGGAAGGTTGTGAATTCGTGATAAATGTATGAGATGAGAAGGATAAGGTCAGGTCCTTCGGGGTCTGCAAGTCCATTCACCCGGGAAGAGAAAGGCGCGATATAACGGTGATAGTAATCGATGATCCGAGAGCGTGCGATGTAACATGCTCGCCGAGGACGCATGTTGCCGGTTCATTGATACATTAAGGGGGGTTTACGAAGGATATAAAACGGCACCAAACGCTCAACACCAGAAGAAAGGTCGAGGAGAGGTGACGAGGGGAAATGGTATTTCATTCATGATGAATGGCTGGAACTGGCGGAATACGCAAAAGTCAAGGCATCAAGACATCGTGGTTGGTTGTTGACGAATGCCATTTCGCGGACTATTGCCTTGTCGCGTATAGTGTGTAGCCAGATAGTGCTGAAAACGAGGAATGCTGATTTTTGACAAAAGAAATGAAGTAGATGACGCTCGTATCGAATAGGTTTAATTTTTGTTTTTGTCGTACCCCCTTGCCGCTCCTCGGCCAAGTTGCGCAACACGGCGCAACTTACATCAGCGCGGCGACAACAATACCAGCCAGCCCCGCAAGCGCAACATGGGCAGAGCCAAGCGATGCGCCGCTGTTGTTGTTATCGATGGTAGGGCTGACTGTCGGCGCAACAGTTGTAGGCGTACCATCAGAGCCAGTCGTTGTCGTCGCAAGAGCGATACTAGAGGAAGAGTGAAAAGAAGAAGAAATGGTGCCGGTAGGCTGGTAGACGGAAGTCGAGTTTGCGCTGAAGATACTTGAGGTGGCAACAACCTTCTGAATAGTGATGTACTTTGTCATCGTCATGGTAGACGTGGTAGTAGAAGTGTCTGCTACCGCCAACAAAGGCAGCAGCGCAGTTGCGACAATCGTTGAGATCTGCATTTTGATATCCGTTGGGTAGAAGATTTGTATCTGTAAAAGCTGATCTTAGAATGTGATAACTCTACTTTTCAAATCGCTTTCGACTATTCGGTGCGTTTCTCGTTATAAATTCGTAGATACTGATATGATGTGTGTGTGATTCAAAGAAGGATAGTTGAATACTCGGTACTCAAGGTCGGTTGGGACTTATTCCTCGTAATGTCGTGAGATGGACTCTGCCAACGAAGCCCTGTGAGTTAAAGAATGAACGTGCGGGAGAAGTGAGTTTACGAAGAGGGTGAGGGTATCAGGTCGTTTAATGAAGGAGTGAGGAAAAAGGGTGTGGTCAGAGGAAAGCGGGCGGGAAGCCACGATCGTTCTGTCATTCTAGGGACCCTTGTTGCGCAAATGGTAAGATCAATGGCGATAGAGAATCAAAGCAGGGTACAAATTAGTGTTGCACCTATTTCTTGCGCTAGTCTCCGCTAAGTCGGCAAGGGGCCCCTGGGGATACAAGGCCAGCAAAGCGTCAATATGCACCAATCATCAATAGCGGTTGATCCCCATTATGTATTCTCTATTGCCTTGTCTACCTTTTGTGAATGTATTTGGTTGCTACGCATACGCATGCCAAAGAATACACGCAAAGGAATTGTGAGTTTAGATAAATAATCTTTATATTGTTTAAAGCTACATTTACTAGGAGTTTAGACATAGCTAGAACTAAGGGATTTATGCCCGAGTATATACCTTCTGATACTAAATATATTAGAGACAAATTCAATAAGAGGCGTAAGGGAACGTGTTGTACAATGCCTTAGTTAGGTACTTAAGTACTTCCATAGGTACCTAAGGTAGTCACAACCAAAATCTCACTTGTGATGGATTGCGGATCGCATCCTCCGATTGCACAGGGCAACGGAAATTACATAGGTACATTAGCAAACGGAAATATGGCTCGCTTGGATAACGCAAGGCTAATTAGCAAGTGCCCCTACCCAGTACCATTCTTTAGTTATGCGGCCCTTGTAGTTAGTCCATCACTCAAAGAAGTAGGGAACTACCAACGTCTATGCCCAATTCGGGTTGCCCATTTTTTTTTGGCTTTGGGCTATTGTAGACTGAATAGGTACATGCATGTACATGATGCATATGAGTACCTATGTACCTATTAAGTCAACTACAATATTGTCGAAAATATTTGATATATAGGTTCTGTGGATGTGGTGTTTAGAATCTTTTAACGATGGTTATTTTGAGATGATTCTTCCTTTAACTTAGGTACATACTACGCTCCTCGCGTTAGACAAACCATTATTCCCTCATAGCTACCTCTTAAACTAAATTGTACTGCAGCGTCGTCTAACAGATCCCACTTACATCCAATCCTCCATCGTTCGTGGGGTCTTCATAAAATTTACTAAGATTGCATAATTTCTGCCCGACTAGGGTCCACGCGAGATGTGTGTCAGGTTAGGTCTGATTGGTTGTAGTGATTGGTACCTGCAGCTTTAGGTTCTCTTTGTTCCTGACTAAACCCAAATGAGAAAATTCTGTCAAAATTCCAATTTTCCCCCAGACTGGTCCGAGTGGTTCCATCTTCTCCAAGAGACACTATTCAATGGTTTTGAGATTTCTGCGGAGAAGATCTGCCCTGGATATCTCTTCCAGTTATCTATCTAAATTATCTAAATTGATCTTACGGAATACTCTTGGCTACTTTGGGATCTAATAAATATTATATTCCGTACCCAACTCCGAACCTCGACGTGGAAACGCCCACGGCAATCATAATCAGGGCGCGGAAGATAACAAACGTAGGGATGTAGAGCTTGCTAAGTACCTAACATAGTAGTGTACTATCACGGTCCTTGTGTGCGATCGTCGCGTCCTATAGTTTACATAGTTCGGGTCAAGCCCAACATCTAGTAAGCCGTAGCGCATCGACATGTGTCGCGAACAACAATGCACCACGTCGGCTTTGGATCATCACTATGAGATGCACTTGAACTTTGAACCGTTTGCATCCCGGTCGCGACCGGTATACATGGAACCTATCATAGGGTTCCACGCGGTGCATCCTGTGGGACCTCCGACCAAGAATAGCGGTGTCGGTGGTCATCATGGAGCTGAGGTTTTTTTCCCTTTTTTTTTGTTTTTTTTTTTTTTTGTTTTTTTTTGTCTCCAGGCCTGCTCTACCCCTTACTCCTGTACACCGACACAAACTCATCCGTCTCGGTGATTTTTGAGCTGTCCCATTTACGTAAGCCCGAAAGGACCCCTTGGCACCAGTCTCACCATCGAAACCACTAGGGTAGCCCTAGCAATTCATTTTCACGACAACCTCAAAGCATGTCCTATAGCTAACGATTTATTTCCCTCTACCACAGCATTCTCAGGGGCTAAAGCTCCATAGCTACCGTGTTCGCCTACACTTTTGGCAGCGCGATTTTGCTAGATGGAGCCACCATCCACTTAACAATTGAAGAGCCTCAGAAGCATGAATAATCCCTGTGAGACGACAACCGTTTCCGGTCTCTAGGTCGTAAAACTCGCCCACCCGAAAAGAAATTATTGAGAAATTTAATGCAACACTACAAACAAACCATTGCATGGATAATGGCGCGGTATAAGTGATATATATTTGCGTGAATTACAGCTCTCCTAATAATGGCCCCTATGCGAGGCTTGCCGATTTCAAATCTTCATTTGTTATTTGTTCTACGAAAAAGTGGAATTAGACCGATCGTCGCAGGGTAACAGCCTTATTGTCGAACTGCTGATCTATTGCATCAGCTTGTCGCAGATCATCGTCATCTTCGGAATGTAGGCTGAACTTAGCCGCATGCTTCTATTAACGATAGCTCATTATATTTTCAAATACATATGGCTACGGATACGTTCAAAGCGCATGTAGGCGTTCAAAACTTTGTGCCAATGATGCTTATTATTAAAGAAGCCTTAGTTTATCTTAGAAGTTCCTATTGCCTATAGCACTAATAGCCAATCTACAACTACCATGGCGTCTAGTACGGCTAGTAGAGAGACGCCGGCTATATCCTTACTCTTCCCGGAAACCACCTTTAAGACGACGTGGTGCTCTGAGATAAAACTTATGGTGTCGACAGGGCAAAACAGTCGCTAGGACCGCGAGCGAAGATTATCTCAGGAGACATCTACTTGCTTTCCAGAGCTGGGTATCAAAATGGCTTTGGCCTTCTTTCTGCATTGTTTCTGATGAAGAGCAATATTCGCAGGATACCCTAAAGATGGCGGATCTTGAGCTATTAGGTTTGCGACTACCAAAGGAACCATAGGCCATCATACTAGACTGTTTACCAGACTGTCATATCTGCAACGAGACATACCGGCGGCGCTTATCACGCGCATACTTGCTTCGGTTAACCTCAAACCCATGCGGATTGTTACCTTATCATCTCGTCCTAGCCGACGGGGGCCATGCTAAAGTCATAAGTCCCTAGTGAGAGTGTGGAATGAACAAGCGTTCTCTATGAGTCGAGGACTACTTACTCATTATGTTCGATACGAACACCCGGTGTGGTTTTGCAAGTCATCTATATGAAGCAATCCCAAAAACGTTATAGAAACTTGCAAGTGAAGCTTCCCGTCAGGTGAGGAAAGGGATATACCGATAGCACCATACGATTGCTCCCATGTCTATCTCTGGGTTATTCTCAATCATGAATGTTAATCTTGGTATTTGTCTTTTTAATCCTCTGCTATATGACCCAAATCCATTAAGCACTGCCATTGTTTATTAGCAAACATCTCGACCGGCCATAATGTGAATACAAATCGCGAAGAATTATTTAAGCATAAGCTTCCATAAATTATGTCAGAAAAGGCATTTCGATGCAGCCACCCGCGAGGCCACCAATTACCGTCGAGTATGTTCAACATTCAGGAGGGGAAATGGTTACCATTATGCAGGTGATCGATCATGAAATTCGACTGATGACAGACAAGAGGAGTAACCTAATGATATTTCACCTAATAAGAACATAAAGCAATATCGCTGGAAAGGGAAATTGTACGTTGACTCTTGGAGGAATTTTGACTTCTCAGCAAACGTGAGCCCAGACATGGCGCTTCCTGCTAAAATCCGCGCCGAAAGCATTGCAGCTCTACACTTTCTTCATCCTATTCCTGTCCAGCCGTTATCCAATCCAGTGACGAGCATTCAATGTCGGAGAGAAGATTATACCTTATCTTTCGAAAAGGAGCGCAGCCTTTGTAGTACACTCGCTTTTCTTGCGTATGCAAAGGATGATAGTAACAATATCCCAGCAATATGCCTGGAAGAGGGTATTGGCGCCGCATATTTGAACGTTCTGCTTGCCATAAACAAATTCGAGCACGATGGAGGAAACCAGGTTCTTGAGAGATTGAAGACGGAATTTGAGAGGATTTTCTCTCTCCTCGCTCATGCGGACGGTACTAAGTCTAAGTCAACGACTTATATCTTATTTTATTAACTAATACGTTGGGCCAGATACCACATTGGGCGTGGAGAATGATATATTCAGAGCCATCGTTTCTATGTGTTCAGCTCGGATCCTTTACCGGTTAAGCCTTGTTCGAAATCACAAAAAAAGTCAAAAGCGGTCAATTAAAGAAGGCCTCCAAATTACATTGGAATATCTCAAACAGAACGCAATCCGCAAACACGATCCTTCATCTCCTCTGTACTCATTCATCGACAGAGCAAGAGATGTAATAAGGCTCATCGATTCTTGGGACAGGCATCAGATGCAGCCTGAGTTAGAGGAACTGGTTGATAGTATTCGCCACCTCCGGCAAGTTAGGGACTTCTATGTTTTCATCAACAGCATACCCGACCGAGACATGGAGTCGAACTCGAAGGCTCGTCTCATAAACACGATAAGTAAAGTCGCGCGATACCGTGAGGCAGCGAGGTTGCTATACCGTACAGCTAAAAAGATCCCTCTTGTTCGGAATATGCGTCTCGTTATTATTCAGTTACCCCAAAAGGTGTTCGATAAAGATTTAGGCAGTGGCTATACGTCGAATCTTAGAGATGCTATCCCACTAATCGGCAAGCTTAAGAAGAAAAATTATCTGGAGCAAGTCTGTCATTTGTTAAATACCACCAAGGAACAAGCAAATAAACGATTTATTGAACAAACACGGAGGACTTTGCAGGAAGCGAGGATCCATGCCGAAATCCAGCTTCTTTATTACTGCGAGTTCTATATGTCGCCTAATGCACACATGCCTCGAGTCGTGTGCTCAAGCAAGGATGCCTGTTGGCTATGCAACGAGTTTATTCTCATGTATGAGAAGATCCACACACCTAGATGTCATGGAAAGCTGTATCCCGGGTGGCGACTACCGACATCGTGCGGGCCCAAGTATCATGATTTGGCAAGGAGATTTAATATGCAGCTTCAGGGCCATGTTAAGAACGGCCTGGAGAGATTATTTGCGAAACGGGAGAGGACTGTGTATCTTGATCCGAACGAGAGCACCTTACTCACATTACCTTGGTCGTCCTCGACATTGCCCACTCTGACATCTTCTCCTTTAGACGCATCAGAAACTTCAAATACCGTGAACAAGGATCCGCAAAAGATTTCACTTCCTTCCGAAGAAGCATCAACTCATATGTCTGTACTGGCCGATAATCAGGAAAGCAAGAAAACGCCAGTAGAGGCGGAAGAAATAGCACACGAGGATTCTTCCCATTTCAGCAGAGAAAACAGTAGCGTTCTGGAAAGCCCAGGAAAAATAAGCACATCAGTGGCTTCAAGCCTTTTAGAGAGCAATTTGACACTCGAGCTAGGTAAGGTCAGGTCAAAACAAGTTGAGATCGGAAAGACTTCTTCACTATACAAAGCAGGTCCCTTAGAAGTACAGATCGAATATGCCGAGAATTCAAACCCAGAGTCGCGAGGTGGACACCAGAAGAAACTCTCATATGCTGTAGAATGGTTGGCACCTGAGGAGGTCGAGAGGCTGCGAAATGGACGAGAGGGTCTTATTATTGACGCAGGGTCACTTGAAGGTGAGATAGAACATAGTACGGATAGAGATGGGTGTGTGTACATTTCTAACGGCGGTGCCGTGGTGAAAATATTCATGCAACCAGTAGCTATGGAGTAATGGCGTTAAATATCTAGATGGCAGCCAGGCTATGATTTTCCCGATCACAAAGCCAGATATCTAAGGAATACTTGGAAGTAATATGGAAGGGTAGGTAATTGTGCCTAAGATTTCACGCCTCTTGGGGCGTATGGCGTTGGCTTCGATTTAATTGATTCCGGCTCGAGAGGCTGGTAAGGAAAGTGAGCATAGCTATAATCTAGAATTTATAATGCATATAACAGGCACCTAATATAAAAAGCCGTATAATCCACAACTATGAATTATCCACTCGGTACCGAAGCTCTAGTACATACCCTATTAAGTAGGTGATGGAGAGACCCCTGTCCCAACTTCGTAGAGCCTAGTGTACTGACGTAGCATTGGTGGTCTAATTGATAGGTAAATAGGAGATGTTGGTGTCGATGTTGGAGTTGACGTACATCCAACATATTAACGGCCAGCGGTCCACCCAGCAAACCCAACAGCAGAAAGCAAGCCGGAACTCACAAGGCGGAAAGCTGCCTTACGAGGATTCCCCTCCTTCCACACGACATAGCTATCAACCAGTCCCGCATAGGCGCCCAGGACGGCGAGGATGGTATCGCACGCGACTAGTTCGCGGCGAAAGTAAAGAGTATACATGCAGATGCCGAAGGAAGTGGTGCGGGCGTTGTTGATAAGCATCACTGCAGCAGCGGCGGGCGTGCTGGCAATGCGATCTGGCAGGCCGAACTCGAGCATGGCGGCTCGCGCGTCTAGAAATGACCACATCCCGCCAAAGGTCATGACGGTCGCTGTGAAGAGTGCGGGGATATGGCGCGGCTCGAAGTGCTCAAACATCGTGATGAGTTGGAGATAACTTAGGTGCGTTTACAGTATAGCTTGGTGTTTCGATAACGAGCCTAGTAAGAAGATGTTCTCTGGTTTCTCTGTTTGTTGGTTGTTGTTATGTTGAAGATGCCAATGTTTAAGGAGGGATGGTTAGTATAGCAATATATACCAAGTCACTACTAATCATCCCTGTTTGGGGGCCAAAAAGGACATATGAACCAACTAACGTGAAGAAGAGCTGGATGAATAATTGAGTGCCAGACAATGACATTAACCTCCAAACCTACCTCCTATTAATCCATTTCTAGTAATAAGACTGAGACCTTACTACCTGTTAGATCGCCAATTCGCCAAGATGTTTTTCTGGACATCCAGCGATCCTCTGGATGCGGTCATGTAATGTCCACTGGCTACCTAGCTAAGCTTCACGTCACAGTCTCAGGGGGCTCCATTCTGTATCGATGCCCCCAAGAAACGATACTGGGTTGTCTTATCACGGAGTCATATCGAGGAAGTAGTTGCAGTGAGAAAGCTCCTCTAATCTAAGTATACTATAAGGAGCGTTAACTACCTGGATAAAAAATAAATAGGGAACTGAAGGGGCAACGTTGATCAGGATGCTGTGCAACTATCTTTACGATATCCCCCCTGGTCTGTAGAGCTGTCGCCTACTTAATATCTTTATTTCCTTCGTTAAAGAATTGTGCAATCCAAACTCGTTTCTATGCGATTCAGAAGCCCCAAGTCGAGTTTATAGAGCGAAACACGGAATCCATCAAAGCTGGTGTCTCTATAGTTGAACATACCCTCATACTCCTCTGATACACTCCTTCTACTAGAAATTACCGCCCAGTAAGACTTCGAAAAGGATTAGTGCGCTGATTCGTTACACTTAGTTTAGTTTGTAAATTACTAGCTAGCTGGTTGAATTTTGGCGATATTGTATATAACACTTTGGAGCCCGTGGTTACACGAAGTGTTGAAGAGTGAGACTACATAGAGCTAGGATATGATATACCGGAGCACGTGAGCATGCGAGTTCCTGATCATTAATAGACCATAACATCACTCAATCCTAGGCTGATATAATTGGTATACTAAGACTGTGTCCAATTAATCATAGACAACTCCCCTTATACGAAGCCGTGTGATATGCAACGAGCTGTCCACGAAACTACTGCCTTGTGGTACGAATCTGTCTACCTAATATAACGCCAGTGGTAAGCTTCGTCCTAGAAGCTATTCCACCATATCAATACTAAATACTGCTTCTACAGTCTATCTACCTTGCCCTTTATAATCAAGAAGAGTATACCCAGCCATTGAAAAACAAACCCAAAAACATAATTAGGGTGAGAATCCTTTGATAAGTCTGGCGGTAGGCTTTTCCCCACTATGGACATTTTCATAAAGGAGTCAACCCGACTAAATCTAGTTAAATGTAGTTTGTCTCATATTATAATAAACTCAACACCATCACCGAGTAACCGATGGCGACCACCAATGAGCACCCGGCGGAAAGCCTTAAACCAATTCCATCTCAAAGACGGCACGAAAGTAGAAGTTGGCTAGCGTATCTATTCCCGTCTCGTAGTCATGAACTCGGCTCCAATCTATCATGCATATCCCGAAGAATTCCACGACCTACAGTTTCTCCAGCCCGAAATACTTAAGAAGTCTCTATCTGAGATCCCGCCGCACAACTTCAAGATACCTGAAGGTCAAAATCCATCGCAGTTTACCGATAGGTCGGGTTTGTCCATATGGGGAGCTATACGCATGCATACATCCTGTCCTCCATCCTCCATCTGCATCCCTCCGTTAACGCATCCCCTATACGTAATACCCTCGCACCCCATTGGCCCGGCTCGAGGGTAGTTAGCCAACAATAACCGGGTCCTAATGTATACGGCTAGATGGACCCTACGTGCAGCCGCTTTTCAGTTTTCCAGCATTTAGTGCGATCCACCTTGATGTCTCTTCGGTACTACGGAACTAGGTGATTGGTCGCTGATCCGAATATACACTATATATAAAATCTACTACAGTACTATGTAAGGGTGAGGATAACTAGGCCTCGGTTAACAACGGCAGATGGACATATGGAATATTCGGCTTACCGAGGAAAATTCTTCGGTGCCGACTTAGCTACCACGAATGGCGTTAACAAACAAACATATGTCCACAAAACCCCATCTTAAGGGGGGAAATAGCGAAACAGCTCTATTGCTAGTATAGAGTCAAATCTATGTACGCGTATATCTGATCTAGCATCTAGTCGTCTAGACTAATCCCCCCAAAATCCAACGCTATATTCCCAGTCCCCCTATACTCCTCCCACCCGTTAAATCTAGCCCAGTTAAATGGAGCCAGGCGTATCGCGCTCGTGTAGTTGAATAATTCACACCCACCAGTGTCTGCCGTCCCAATGATGATGATGATGTTGGTATAACCAACCAACTATTTGCATGCAAAAGACCTTATCGCTGTTGAATGGTTCTCTCCCGAAAACGCCTTGTGCCTAGAAGAGTTGGTGAAACTCCGTGTCGCTCTGACCCCGACTCTACCATGTGTTGAAGACCCGTGTATCCGCCGTGCGCCTTTTTCCTCTCCATGATGTTGAAAACTGGATATCATCTATGCGTTGTGCCGGAAAGATGCTGCTAGGAAAATCATTTACGTAGTGTCCTCGACTGGCGGACAGGTGCAGAAGAGGTTTAAGTCGCCGTATGCTAGGTACTATAGTTAGCATATATGGTTTTAAACCTTAGATGAATGTAATATGTGCAGCAACTTACTGTCGTCTACCCTCGTGACACTCGGCCAGAACTTCTTCTCCTTAAGCCACGGCAGAGGGTACGCCGCCTTCTCTCGTGAGTAGGATCTCTCCCATTTGCTACCTTCACCGCCGTCGCCCGCAATTAGGTCCTGCATGGTGTGTGGCGACATCTTCAAAACATTGCCTTCACGTGGGGCCTTGCCCTCTTCAATCTCCCGGATCTCTCCGCGGATACTGATCAGAGCATCAATGAAGCGGTCGAGCTCTTCCTTACTCTCGCTCTCAGTCGGCTCAATCATTAGGGTGTTAGCGACGGGCCAACTCATCGTCGGGGCATGGAAGCCGTAATCCTGCAGGCGCTTGGCAATATCGATGGCCTCGACGCCGGCGGATTTACTGAAGGGCCGGGCGTCAAGGATGAACTCGTGAGCGCAGCGCCCGTGCTCATTCACGTATAAGATCTGGTAGTGAGGCTTGAGACGTGAGAGGATGTAGTTAGCGTTGAGCAAAGTGATTTTGGTAGCTTGGGTGAGACCCTCCGCCCCTATAAAAGAAGTTAGCAATCCACCCGATTACGCGAAATTCAAAACATGAGTTAACTTACCCATCAAGGTGTTATACGCCCAGCTGATGAGGTTGATGCTGGCGCTACCATTGTTGGCACTGCTGACTGCATAGCCACCGCTTGTCGCCTTGCCCTCGGCGTTGGGATCACGAGGAAGGAAGGGTTGAAGACGCTGCTTTACACAAATGGGACCTACACCCGGACCGCCTCCACCGTGTGGGATGCAGAAAGTCTTGTGAAGATTCAGATGGCACACGTCAGCACCAATCTCTCCCGGGGAGCATAACCCTATTTGCGCATTCATGTTTGCACCGTCCATGTAGACTAGACCGCCGTGTTCGTGGACCAGCTCGCACACCTTCTTTATCTCAGGCTCGAACACACCAAACGTGCTGGGATAAGTAACCATGATAGCGCCGAGCTCTTCTTGGTGCTTTTTGCACTTTGCTTCGAGGTCTGCTACGTCGAGATTGCCGGTAGTCGTATTGCACTTGATTGGTACTACTCGCATGCCAGCCATAGCAGCGGAGGCAGGATTTGTACCGTGAGCAGATACGGGAATAAGGCAGATATCGCGTTTCTTTCCACCATTTCCTTGCGCCTTGTGGTACTCTCTAATTGCTCGCAGACCGGCGAATTCACCCTGTGCCCCCGAGTTAGGTTGAAGAGAGACAGCATCCATGCCTGTTATATCACGCAATTGTTCCCTGAACATGTCTAGCAAGCTATTGTAGCCCGGGACCGTCTCCTCTGGGGTATACGGGTGTATCTGGGAGAACTCGGGTAGCGTGATGAGTGACATTTCCGTGGTTCCATTGAGCTTCATGGTGCATGAGCCGAGAGGAATCATGGAGTGGACAAGCGATAGATCCTTAGACTGCAGATGGTAGATATACCGTAGCAACTCCGTTTCAGAGTGGTGCGTGTTAAAGACAGGATGCGTCAAAAAGCTTGAGGTTCGTTTGAAAGCGTCCGGGATATCTACCGAATCGGCGTTCTTTTCGAGTATCTGGCGAACGTGTGCCTCCACCGCCTCGTACGGGTACACCTTGATGTTGCCAGCCACAGTTGCAAATACTTGGAAGACTTTGACCAAGTCGTCTAGTGATGTTGTTTCATCAACCGAGATACCAATTTGTTGCTCGCCAATTTGGCGAACATACATCCCGTGTTCGTGTGCTGTGCTCACAGATTGGGCCTGGCTCTCTTTGGACCCAACATCAATGATAACCGTATCAAAGAGTACGCTGCCGCTATCATTCCACTTGCTTTTCTCCGTGGCAAACCCATTCTCTTCAGCGATGGCTTGAATGACTCGTGCTCCTCGGACAACTCGTTCGGCAATCGCTTTGAGGCCTTCGGGTCCATGATAGATCGCGTAGAGAGCATTCATATTAGCTAATAGCGCCTGCGATGTGCACACGTTACTGGTCGCCTTCTCTCTTCGGATATGCTGTTCTCGTGTCTGTAGGGCTAATCGGTAGGCCTTCCCACCCAATCGGTCTTTAGACAGCCCAATTAATCGGCCAGGCATCTTCCTCTTGTGCTTCTCCTGAACGGCGAAGAACGCAGCATGTGGACCTCCGAATCCCATCGGCACACCGAATCTTTGCGCACTTCCGAAGGCAATGTCAGCCCCCCATTCTCCTGGGGGTTTGAGCATGGTCAAAGCCAGTAGATCCGTGGCAACACTAAGCAGGGCGCCTTGCTTATGTACCGAGTCGGCCAGAGGCTGGAAATTTTCTACATGGCCGTATGTGTCGGGATACTGGACCATGACACCGACTAGATCCTCGCCAAGGTTCTCAACCTCAGTACGTGCTTCAACCTTCGTAAGGTCCAGTTCCAATATCTTGATACCAAAGCCATCCGCACGCCCACGTAAGACTGATATCGTCTGCGGGTGGAGGGACTTAGATACGACGAAAGTCTTTCCTTCCCGTTTAGCCCTCGAGGTCGATAGCGTGTTCATAGAGAGGGTCATTGCCTCGGCGGCGGCAGTGCCTTCGTCCAGGAGACTAGCATTAGCTATAGGAAGTCCCGTTAGGTCAGTAACCACGGTTTGAAAGTTAACGAGTGACTCTAAGCGGCCTTGGCTGATTTCTGGCTGGTAAGGGGTATAACTCGTATACCAGGCGGGATTTTCCAGGATGTTCCGTTGAATAACGGCTGGTGTGTGTGTTCCATAGTATCCTTGACCAAGGAAACTCTTTTTTACTGTGATATTGGACTGATACTTTTTCACCATTGCCTTTAGACTTGATTCGCTCTGTGGCCCCTCGTGAGGGGGAATGTCGAGCGTCTTCTTAGATAAAATGTTAGGTGGAATGACTTGCTGAACGAATTTATCCAGATTGTCGACAGGCGGTGATAGGGCCTTTAGCATCTCAGCTGTATCGGCCTCATCAGGACCAATGTGGCGACGAGGAAATGTATCCAGGTCAGCATAACTCGCAACCTGTGTCCGGTCAATGGTAGTGAAAGACCTTCTCTGGGTAGCCGTCGCTACGGCCTTATAAGTACAGCCATGACATATCCATGGAGCTGTACGCTGCAAGCGAGAACTTGACGAAGTCAAAGCTCTTAATTGAACTGCTGATCGGCCTAAACGAGGTATAGCCCTCGCAAAAGACGCCATCTTGTACAAAGATGCTCTTCCTCGGAATTCACAACCAACGTATCGGCGAAGCACGGGACCTCGAATGAATGCTGGGCCAAGCTTTATGCAGTCATGCTGCTCGAAACGTTGCAACTATGTCAGTTAAATGAAATAGTTGAACAAGCAGTAAGCAACAAATCGTGAATTATAATGTATTAGATAAATATTAGGAAATTGGATTGATTACTAGTTTTTTAGCTCAGGTACAATTAGGTATATATGTATTACACAGACTAGGTACATACCTCTTTGCCTTAGAAGGAATCGCCGTCATCGGTCTAGCAATTAGCTCGAAATATGCGAGATAACAAAAAGTTGCGGGTCTTTTCGGAGGAGTCTCAAAGCCGATAACGTTTTGCTCCGGACCCTTTCTATGTGATCTCTACCCTACCTTCCCAACTTCCCTACCGTAGCGTAGTACATGTACATACATGTAACACCTCATTCTGTAGTGGCGGGTAGGTACTTTACCCACCTAGCGGTGTACATACTTAGGGACGTTAGGTTAGCTGATTGGATATACATATGTATGTAGTGAATGGAGAGATGCTGCAAGTGCTCTTCCCTTTGAGTCTGGCCAGAAATGGTACGATGCATGTGGCTACGCTGTTATGTAATACGCATTTGCTGTTCCTGCTTATCGCTTTAACATATGTACCTAGCACCATTACACGACTTACAGGGGTTATAATCTTTATTAAGCGGCTCAAAATGGGCGCCGTATTGTACATATCGTAGATGTGGGGAAATCTGCTTTCAGCTGCTAGTCGTCACCAATTAAAAAATTTGGTGACACCGACGAATCAATCAATACTATTCGCCATCTCCCGGTGACGAAACTTTTGCTCCAAAACAACAAAACAACGTCTCTAGTCCACCACGCGGAAAGAAGAGTAATTTCAAAATGTTTGGCGGATGTAAGAGAGCCTCGTAATAGAATCTATGCTTATCTTCCGTCGCTAACAAAAGATACGATAGTCGCACCACCCCAGTTCTCAAAGGAGGAGCTCGAACAGCACGAGACTGAAGCTACCTCCACGGTCCAGCTCTTCTTCGGCGCCGCCGTCTTGCTCTACTTCTGTATGCTCCCTTCGATTCATAATCTCAACCATAATCGCATAATACTGACGACATATTCTATTAGCTCCCTTCGCCGTTGACCTCGTCTCGAGCGTATTTTAATCTCGTGGGCGCATGACTTTTGTACAATTATGAGACACGGTAACAATGGTCCGGTTCTTGAGATATGAACTATAAGGGCTGGATGGGGTGTATGCTACTATACATATGGGATACCTTTTCATAAGGGCGACTGGCATGTTATCCGTTTCGGTTGTTTTAGCATCACAAGGCTGAGGCATCATGCTTATCGCACTACGGCGTCTTCGGGTGTCTAATACTTATAGAGGGGTGTATATGGCTTGTTACGTCACCGCATAATATAAAGGCCCTACGGGTTTTGCATCTTCTCTCATGCGTAAATTAGTTTCACGTTCCCAAATGCTTTGTTAGTTTTCTTAGAAACCCACGGCATTCAATGTCCGAGGATGAAAGAAACTCGGAAGGGACAAATCGGGATATTATCGTCTAATATCAGAAGCAGACGTCCCCAAACGCCGGGCTTTATGCGGTTTCCTACAGCCAGCTAATATCTGTACACCATCCAAGTTTCCCAAGACCCGAGAACCCACTCCTATTAATGAACTTCATCCCTCTGTCTCATGCTATCAGAGATCGTTTATGCATTATCCTCCTAAGCGTTATCTACTGTCTAGGAGGTGGATTCCTCTCACACCACTCGTCATAATCCTTCTGAACCTGCTCCAGCGCGGTTTTCAAGGACTGCAGTTGCTTGTCAAACTTCTCTAATATCTAAGGTCGCCGAATGTTAGCACTGCTCATATGATCACAAAGACCGAGAAATAAACTTACCTCCTTGGCTTGGGCCTCATTCTCCTCCCCTATCCCCTCCTCAGCATCCGTGCCACGCTTGTTAATCTCGTTCTGTAGGCTATCCGCATATCCCCTCAGCATTATAAGACGACTCCACAGTTCCTCTGTTCGCGCACTTAGAGCCGGGTCTGACACAGCTCGATCGAGGGTCTCCAACTTCGTCTTCAATTCATCTTCTTCCTTGTCGAGGGAGTATCCGCGGTTGCGCAAGACCTGTACCTTTGTTGCTAAGGCCAGACATCTCTGTCGTAGCAGTGCGTGCTTTCGTCGGGCATTGGCTGTCCGCACGCTGGTTTGTAAGTCGTGTTGTGAGAGAATTGCGTCCAAACTAGAGTTAATAGAATGTAACGCCACTCTGAAATGCCCTAGAACCTGTCTCTGCATCTTAAGGCGTTCGCTAACAGCTTGAAACCCGGTAGCAAGGGCCGGCATATATCCGGGACCGGGCTTATCATGAACAGCTTGCTCCCATTCTCGGGGATCTTCTGAGGGAGAGGGTTGATAGAGAGGGATGCGCGCCTGGTCGACCTTATTGTAGAAGTAGTACTTGAATACCGTGTTTGGACTTTCGGGAAGCCACTTCTCGAGCATTCCTTCGATTTGCTCCGTAACAGGCTTGTGGACTAGGATCGAAATAGTCAGCCCAATGTCAAAGATACGAACTTAAGTGATGGTAGACTTACTCAGTGACTCTCGGCCTGGCTCCCAAATTAGGCTGGAGCGTTGCACCGGTGCCTGGCTTGCGTTCATGAACCCAGAAGCTCCAAGCTGCTGCTGAGGCTGTTGCTGCGCCTGGGGTTGACCAAGAAGGCTCGCACCAAACGCATTGGTCGATGGTTGGCCAAGTGTACTCCCACCGAGTAGACCTCCACCAAGTGCACTGGACTGCGGCTGGTTCTGAGTCTGCGACTGGTTTGCGGTCTGACCAAAACCAGTAGTGGTTGTGGATTGACCGAAGGGAGTTGTAGACGCCCCGAAACCCGAAGGTTTGCCCCAGAGAGACATGGCTAGAGCTGGGAAGCCTGTATACTTCAGTAACCGGTGGGGTTGTTTAGGGAAAGGGAGCTCGAAGCCGTAATCTTGCGACAGAAGGTTTCGCGAAGATAAGAGTCGCGTTTAAAGTGGGTGGAATGAAAGAATGATTCAGGCTTCAACTCATGGCGGTACTTTAGATAATATTCTGCACAAGATACGGGGGTCGATATCTTGACGTGAATTGAAGAAGAAAGAAGAAAGAAAAAGAAAACCCTTAAGAAATACCAGATGTATCAGATGTTGCTGTCGGGTGTCCTGGTGTTTACTGGTCTTGCTCAAATGCATACACTAGAAATTCCACAAACAAATCCTAGCTTCAAATTCATTAGCTTCAGCCTTAAGACGGTGTGGCTAGGAGCTGGAATAAAGTCTACCTACCTAGGTATTGTATGTACTCAGGTACCTAGCTACCCGAATCATTCACGAATCTAATTGGCTATAGTGAATTCTAGCAGCTACATTGCTGACCCACTCGTCTGGTCTATCCAGTCTATCCTAGCCCAATGTGGCTGGAACCAATCAGCATTTCCAATTTGCTAACCACCGGATTCCGTCACTTCGCCTGTCGTCAAACTGCTCCATTTCCGAAGCTCACTTCAAAACCACGACATCCCGCCGAGAAACCCGTCCGTATCGCAGCCATGTCGGCCCGGAAGCCAGTGTATGTCCTACAAACCGTTTTCCTACTCAATAATAAAATATAATAAAATACGAATTGGCATATCATAGACCTTCTTTATGAGCCAATTACATATTACATATTTAGAGAGCGCCGTCGCTAACTTGCTCTTAGCTTCAACCACCAGGTTCTCTACGATACCACTCCCCTCCCGGACTCCATCCCCTCGGTCAAGGAGGTCGGAGCTACGTCTGCGCCTCTTCTATCGGCTTCGTTCTTCATCGGCGCCCGGTGCCGCCCTTACAACGATGACTTCATGCAATGCAAGACCGAGAACCACGGCAAGGGCGAGTTTGAGTGTTTGAAGGAGGGCCGACGAGTAACCAGATGCGCCGCCAGCGTGATCGATGACATCAACACGCACTGTCTAGACGAGTTCCGCAAGCACTGGCAGTGCCTCGACAATAACAACCACCAGCTGTGGCAATGCCGGAAGGACGAATGGAAGCTTAGCAAATGTGTATTTGATAACCTAGTATGTTACTTACCTCTTGTAGCCTCCTTTAAGAGCTATTTTACTAAACCATGCGATAGAAACTGGAGAAAACCATCCCCGATTCTCCCAAGGACAAAGCCCCGGTCCACCTCCGGACGAAGCAGATCTACGCCCACTACCCTATCTTAAGAGATCGCGGCCAAGCGCCGTTCGGCAAAGCTATTGACCCGCCTTCAGCACAAGCTCAGGCTGATGCGCCGACATCATGAAATGCCCTAGTTTAAGTAGGGGCTCAAAATGACAAGATAGCCGTGTAAATAAACAAGAATTACAATCGGGTTAATGTTTCGCCTTGTCTAAGGTCTCCTCTTGCAACTGGCCTATTTTGCTAGCTTGCTTGCTATAAAATATGAATAGCATACCCCCTAAAGATTAAGGGATATTTGTTCAATGGCTGATAAGTTACTCACGCTTAGACACTTTACACTAGGCAAGGCGTCTGTACCCTTGGGGATACTCCCGCTGTCAGGCAAATCTCTCTTTTATAAGTACCTGCATCTATCGTATAAGCAAGTGATGAATTTTAGTGGCAATTATGTTGCCATGTTTCTCGAGATATTTAAAATCGCTAGAGACCAACTAGTGTTAGTCATATAAGCAGGGAAAGACGTGGGATCGTCGTATTCCTAAATTTGCCACATTCTGATAAAATACTTACATACTAGTCGAGTGATAAGGCAATACTTACGAATCCAGTTCTATATTAACAATGATTGTGATTAATCAACACGACTAGGTAGACAATTAGACCGGCTTAAACTAATCTACGGCTCAACTTAGTTATATTCAAACTATGGGAAAGCTCACAGCTCTAAGGCGCCTCCTAAAGGAAGATATTCCTATAGTTCTAACTTACAACACGACTTATTGAAGCGCCTTTCCGCTCTGTGAAATACCAAGCGGACTCCGGATTAAAATACTTCGATTAAAATACTTCGTAGTAATAACCTAACAATAGTCCCTCTATCATCTTGTAATGGAAACGGTGCCGTACAGGAGGTTCCGACAAGCTCAAGGTCCTCAACCTTCATCATCCCGTAGCTACATCACCTACTTCTTCCAGTTAACACAGGGCGTGATCATATGCAAAGCCCCGAATATCCCCTCATGTTGCCTTCAGCACCCGCACACGGCAGTTACGTAGCCGTTCGCTTGGCTGCCGAAGGAGCCAGCAGCCAGCCGACGCAGGAAAGCTCTTCGTCTGCCCTAAATCGATGACACATACACAAACGCGGGGGGACACCAAATCTACATATGCAAGCCGGCTTATAGTTTCGCGGACATAGCTCTATTGGCCATCGAACGCCTGGGGCGATAAGGAAATCAAGATTCGCTGCCGTGCTCTGCGTCGACTAGCTCAACCTGCTGCGACATATCGTGATAGGGTTGCAGGTGATGTGACCTGTTACTATATATGTGCGTCTATGTGCGTCTATGTGCGTATATGTGCGTCTGTTCAAGAAAGGCATGTCGGATAGTGAAGGCAACTAATATATTCGGAGTATAGAATCCTATTTGACAGTCTTGGCAGCCTTCGCTAATCAACGCCCGGTTACATTTAGGAAGAATGTGCTCCTCGTATATTCGACGACGCTGTCTCCTGCACTTCCTATCCGTGGGGAAAGTCTTTCCGTCTTTTCGCCCGCATCGGACGTATGCCGACTGGCTACTAGCATTGCCTAGCATATCCGCCTTCGCACGAGTTAATCTGAAGTACCACTCAGATCTCCCACGGTTCTGAGATGGACTGGGCGCGGCGCGGCGCAACCCCGGACATATGTAGCCATCCAACAGCCAGGACTCAGAACGCCTCTTCATCAAGGACCGGCTACTTACATACCTAAGGTAGCCTACATCTGCGCGGGGTAAGCAACACACGGATAAGAGTCAAGTTGGGCAACGCGACGTTAAGTATGAAGTCCATCAGTAGTAGCCATAAGCTTAGTATATGATTACGATAGGTTATACAGCACGAGAGCCCTACGTCATAACAGGGGATATCGCATTGCCGCAGGATGTGGGAGTTTATCGCAGTGCTGTGACGGAGACCCCTACTGAAAGGATACACGGAAACTGCTGCTACGGAGGATGAGGCCTTCTAGAAGTGGCTAAGTTGGCGTATGATGCTGAATCGAGAGGCCCGATTGCCAGAAGTAGCCTATGCCATGTTTCGTTTTACCCCTCTAAGGCTACGGATTTTTTTTTCTCGATCCTGTATAACCCTCCAGGGCTAATCGGCTCTTCTTGATCCCTCTGTTGTTCTTGAGCTAGTTGGAAACAGTTGACCGTAACCACGATCCACTAAGGGCACACACATATCGAAGGATTCGTCCCGCAACCCCGCAAACAACTTGGGTAGAAATGTGACATGACTCCCGCGCCGGCAACTATAATCTATTCGCAACAGTGCTATATTCAGTGTTTCCTATTTGTGGCAACTGGGGGAAGCCTAAGACATGGAGCCTCACGGCTGTGTGGAGAATGTGCCTGGCCGGCGGTTGGCAGCGTGAAGAGGTGCGGGAGGTAAGGTTGTACTATATCGAGACAAATCTAGGAATCCCGCGTTCGCCCTGTAAGAATTGAGTCGTGAGATGTATCAACGTTCGCACTTTAGGTATCTTGTCTCGGTCCGGGCCTGAAAAGGACGGAAAGACATAGTATGCAAACAGGGGGTGTTGGTGAGGACAGCCGCTTACTCGTTTAGACATATGCGTCTTTCTCAGGATTACCTAAGATCCACGCGACGATAGTGTCTAAAGATGAGTTGATTCTATCGATCGATCAACTCAGATATCTGTTGTTTAGATATTGATCGCTAGACCTGGGTAAGCCTCTGATAAAGCAAACATAACTCTTGACGTTGATTACCTAGCTATGCTAAGCATATGCTAGAAAACCCGCTTACGAGCACATTAGTAGCGTATGTGCTCACCGAGACAGTGCCACGTTGAAACTTGGTGTAGGTCTCTCCGTCTTAGAATCGGGATTTAGGGGTGGCAGCCGCTGTGGCATTGGCGTACTGCCTGTCTAAGACACCTGAGACTTCATGCTAGCTGCAGAAGGCTGGCTTATCACCAGTTACCTCTTCCGCTTAGAAAGAAGTGCCTTCTCGAACTCTTGACGAACGGGAAGTGGCAGACACGTGATTACCATAGACGAAGAGGCCTCGGTATCCCTTTCTCTCCCTCACAGTCTGCATCATATATGAAAGGCCGAGAGGCAGTTACAACTCCAGTAATATATGTGTATGCTGATGCGGATAGGTACATATCGGATGACAGTTTACAATCTTGTAATACAATGATGGTCAACGCTTTACTCGCGTTAATCATCCAAGTTGGAGGAAATTTGTTGAGGTGACGGTGACCTTTCCTCTGTTGAACTCCAATATGCAATTCGCTACTTGAAGCAAGCTGCTGCAGAATATAGGAGAGCAAACCACGAGTTGGCATCCCTCGAATAGACGTGGCTGGAAAGTGAATCATGAATTCCGAAGTGATGGGTAAGTTGTAATTAGGATTCATTTCGTCAGCAATTGTGGTCCCAACCCTTACGGCATGTCTAGAGTGCTGTCTAGGGCAGTCTTAAGCTTGGACATGCCTTGTGTTACGACAGTCTACCACGATCATCGTGGAATCATGAACTCTGGTTAGGTACCTATGAATTGGTGACAAGAATTCTGATGTAATTTCCGCACGCCTTTCAGCATCATACGAGATGTTGGCTTCTACTTAGATTGGTCAGTATATCACGACCACGATGATATCATTGGAGTTTCGGTTAGCAAGCGTATATCTCACACGAAACTTCGATATCATTTTTCACATTTCGAGTTGATGAATAAAATGGGGCGCATAGTGTTTGCCACTCATAATAGGCTAATACGCAGCCGGCTTGTCCTTGCGGCTGACGGAGCATGTGCCCATTGATGGATATTGGTGTTGGCCCCTTGGGTGGCTTTTCCGGTCTTCCGAAGGACGGGACCCGTTGAAGATCGGGGGAGTTGGCTACGCTAGGGAGTTGTACAGAAACTTTTTTTCTTTTTTAATCGGCGTGGCGGCGGCCCAAACGTTTCATCCTTAGTTGGTGTTGGCCTATAGTCGAACCGTTTAAACAAGAGCGTCCTTGTATCCACTAATCAGCGGCGCGGCCACACCTACGTCCACGCAATGATCTCACGATTCTTACTAAAGAAAAAAGTAAACCTGTGGACTGTGTATGATTTGATGACACGCCTCGGGATTTGCCAAGATGAATCAAACTACTAGAACGCTTCTATTTGAGATGGCTAGGAATTGCGGGACCTCGTTGTGGATGCGGTCGAGACTCGCAGATAGTTGAATTTAGAAGATAGCAAACATTTCGTATCTAAGGTCTGCGCAGACTTTCGAGATCAAATTAAGTATCGAGCGCATTTATCACGTGTATGCCTTATTTGTAGCTATACAAGCTAACGAGCTGAATAGGTAGAATAGGAAAAACCCGGTAGACAGGGCGAGTTCATCTGATGTTTTCCCTCAGGGACTCTATGATGAGATACAAAGCAAGGACGGGTATGCAAACGAGATCGGGCTGACCCCAGGATTCGTAGTTGGTTTAAGGGGGCATCAGGGGTGTAAGATCAGTTAGCCTAAGGCATTCGCAAATCCGTAGCGGATGGAGATGGATGGGCTGGACGACCTGAGTTAGGTACCTAGTATGGGAGAATGTTTATGGGCGAATCAATGGCTTTACCGATTACCATTCTGGGGCATGCTTTACTAGCCCCGCGCTTGACAAGCCCCTCCTAGTCATGAAGGCGGGAACTGAGTGAAAATCTGCAAGGTACCAGATTTCCTGCAGGGGTTGGAAACAGACTAAAAATACTAGGGGCTTCGTCTGATTTTAGGTTGTACGAAAGAGCAGTCCATATGTATCATAATATCCGACGATATTAGATTAGCAAAGGGTAAATATAATATTTTCTGATGCCAACAGGCTTAATAGTTACCTAAACTCATTACCTGACGGAGATTTCGAAAGGGAAAAAGCAAATAATGATTTATCTCAGTAAACTCAGACTAGAATTCGTTGAATTGGCGGGCTGCGCCCGCCAACACCCGGCGGCGCCACAGGCGCCACACAAACGCCTGGCCCGTGTCATTGTATCTGTGGGTCCAAGGCTCAAAAAGGTAACACAAAGCCTGAGTTTTGGCGAATTCTAGTCTGA